GGCACTAGGAATTTGAACCACTGAACTGTCGACCTTTCAATCGACAAGCTTAGCGTCTTAGCCACTGAGCCATCGAGTCCCTGTTACTTACAGATACTTACAGTTACTTACAGATAGTTAAAATAGCACATTTGAGGTTAGTTCTCTCCAAAGGATAGAATGTTCAGGCTAATGTTCTAGTTTTTCAGATTAAGCAATACTGTTATGGACTTCATTTTGCTGGGAAAAAAACAGCATTTACTCTACAAAGGTTTAGGATTCTGTTTTGTGTCTCAATCACAGTCTATCTCCATGTTGCATTATGTACTAGACTGATTGGTGTCAAGTCCTTTCCATTCTTTTTAACCACTTTAGTCTCTACCATTTTATTTGAATTTCTTAATGAAAGAAAGAACCTCCAGAGAAAAACACATCATAAATGCATTAGCAAAAGCTTTAGAAGAACATATTAAGGCACTTCCATTAACATTTAAGTGCTTCCTTAGCCATGTGTATGTGTGTGTGATTTTTTTTTAACCCTCTGTAATTCTACATAAAATTAAATTATGCCAAAGGAGTGATCTGAAGCAATTTGGTAATGAATTTAAAATTCTTAGGAAAGAAATACTGGCAGTAGGCAAAGTTCAACTTGATATAAACTTTGCTCCAATGCTAATTTTATCATTTATTCTTTCTTTCATTTGTTCATTCATTTTATAACCTAAAATCTTATTCACAGGAGAACCACTTTGGTGCAATGGTTAAGGCACCAAGCTAGAAGCAGGGAGACCATGAGTTCTAATGTTGCTTTAGGCACAAAGTTAACTGGCTGAGGCTGATCTTGAGCCAATCACTCTCTTTCAGCTCTAAGAAGAATGCAACTACAAACCACTTAAGAAAATGTTGTCGATAATGGCCTAGTTTTATCCAGGCATTTACCAGGAGTCAAGACTGAACTGAAGGTCCAGAAATTAATTAATCAAATTATGTTCAGAGAAGTACTCAAGGTAGCTGTATGTTTGCAATATCTGTTGCAATAGTAGAAAGATACTTTCTGGTTGTGTAAAACTCCTGATAAATTTTGTGATTTAGGACTGTTAAAAAAAAAAAAATCTGAGCACTGTGATTCTATTTTATGGCTCATAATTAATATGTCTATGTGTGCATATTTTAAATCTTGTTTATTGAATATATAGCAGAAACCAGTCATGCCCTTGCTTCTCTTGGTCTAATTATGTGAATGATAGGATGCTGGAGAAAGCTGCAGTTACTAAGATCATGGCTGAAGGCTGCAAAACCATTGTAGAGTTTGTAATGAGTTACTTCTGTGAAAATTAGCTCCATGGTTGGATCTCCATGACTGTTTGTCCAACTGATAAGTAAGTTGCTCCTCTGTTATAAATTATTTGGATTTCATGCATATGTAAAGTTCTGCCTTTTCTGTAAACAGATAGCTTTACAAGACATTAAAAGCTGCAAAGTCTTAGATACTGGTTTGGTCTGCTTCCATAAGCATTGATTTTGTATACTGCATGCATACTTTTGTACTGATATTAAGCTTCAACATGATTTTAAATGCAGATTTTGTTAGTTTCTTCAGCCTGAAAAATAATATAATTTTTCTTTTGGTTATTTTAATTCAATGTTATTCATATTTCAATTGCAATGTTATTTACATAAGAGTAAAATTATTTTTATAGTTTTTATATTTATAACATGTTTTATAGACACAAAATATAGGAAGACAAATTAGAAATACTTCTAATTGATTTTATGTGTTTATGCCTATAGTAGTTGAGCTGCAAAAACAAATCAAAACTAGATCCTCATGCCTGAAGTTGTTTAATAAGTATGATAAATTTTGTTGTTACCTAGCACTTCATCTACAGAAAAAAATGGTCAAGAATATCCTAGGTGGCAGCACCTAGTTAACATTGGATAGACTTGAAAAAGAGGGAAGTGAGTCTTAAGGTACAAAGCTACAATTTTAGTAATCTTGAAATACATTGGAGTATAATTGACTCTGTTTCTATATAGGGGAGCTTATTTTCTTTACTAGCCAGTGATGGCCTGGTCATGTTGCTGAACCTTAGAGAATGACCAAATGAGCATCTTATTTGCGGCCAAGCTATTGGTAAATAATATTTTTACTTAGAGGCATGGGTGTAAAGGCAAAACATGTGTCTTTTAAACTTGGAACAAACCAATTCTACTCAAAATGTCCCATTATACTGTATATCTCAAATTGGCAATGCTTCAGCATTTCAGCTATAGAAATGAAAAGTAGGATTAAATCTCCTTATTACTCCTTTTTCACCAGAGGACCACCAGGAAAAAAAAAAGCTTTGAGGTTCTTACCAATATTGATGATACTCAGCATGATTTGTTTTCTATAAATCTACTCTGGTAGATTAAAGTTAAAGGTAAGAAATTAAGGTTAAATCCATATAAGATTGTGTATTCCATGATACACTGTTGTCACACAATGTTGAAATGTTTTTCTTTCAGTTTTGAAAAACAAATAAATAACAAATATTTATTTAAATAACAAGCACAAATATTCATCCCTTCCTTGAAAGGGGCTGTTCATAGACAGTGTACAAAAACCAGAGATAACATTCAAGAAGAAATGGGAGATGAGTTATATAAGTTCAGCCCCAAGAAAAAGGAGAGAGTGAGATAGAAACTCAAGATTATCCCACCTTGGTTCTCTTTGGCATAACAGGAGACAGAGAGAAACATGTGTCCCACCCCACATCCTAGACCACTTGCATCATGGGCTGTGTCATGCCCCTGTTGGAACCTGAATATGTGGAGGAAGACGAGTCAGAGTTGGAGCCGACGGAGATCGAGGGGGCGGCTTCATTGGCTTCAGAGGAATGTGGGGAGGAACAGGCTGAGTCAGGATTGGGATGACTTGTTAGCAGGGAGGAATGGGGGCAGGATGACTGAGAGAAGGCAAGCAGTGGACATGATGAGTGACAGAGCTCAGGCGATGAGCAAGGACTTCCCCCTCCTGATCCCCAAGCACGGAGAGTGGAGGGAAGGCAGGAACAGTGCAGGCCGACCCAATGACTCGGGAGGAGAGCACCTAGCCCCTCTTCACAAGGAACACCTGGGGACTGAGTTTTAAGGAGATGCTGCAGGGAGGGGCATTTGTCAGGAACAAATGCTGAATTGGTAGAGTTTGGTGTGCCAGTACAGACATTTGGAGTTTGCAGGACTACTTGCTTCTTCCTTATTTATGGACTCAGTGCCTTCTTCCTGACTTTGTGGACTCAGTACCTTGTTCCTGACTTTTTGGATTCATTGTTTGTTCCTTGTTTCATGAACTCATTTCCCTGTTCCTTTATTTTGCTGAACTGGGTGCAGCCAGAGGCTGCCATGTCTCTGTGTGTGCGCGCGCAGTTTGCTCTGGGACTTGCCAAGAATGTGGGAGTGTTTGAGGGGAAATTTGGAGCATTAGAGAGGAATTTGAGCTCTCCACTGGCTGTGTGACCTTTGTGCCTTGTCCCTGGTCATCACAGGCGCTATCATGATATATCACAATATTTTTTGCCTTTGCGGAGCTGGTGCAGGTGTGGCCTGCACAGGCCGTATATGGCCCTATGGCCGCCAATTTGACAGGCCTGTCCTAGACCCACTTCTGAGCAAGCATCTATGAGTTGGCCTGCCAAACCCACCTCCAAGTTATGTGTTTTGCATCAAGGCTTATTGTCTCAAATTTTAAAAGACAAAGGCTGGTTAATATTCAATGTGCCTGAAACAAAGAAACCTTCTCCAAGTGTCTCCACTTCCCAGAGTTGAGAAGGAAAGTCACATATCTTTAACTTATACAGCAACCAAGTAACTAAAATTGAAATGAATTGTTGTTTTCATTAGGATAGAAAAACTTGAGAGCCCAGAGCACATACTATTTATCTTTGCAATCTTTGAAAGAGTTTTGCAGTTTCTATTATTATATCCTGTAATAATAAAACAGAATTCCAATAGTACCAGTGTATTAGATATTTCTTTCCTGACTCACACTATCTTTATGAGCTGAAGGACAGAGTAATAGAGAAGAGAATATTTGTAGCTCAGGGTTGAACTATGGGGTCCTTGATGCTCTCTGAGCTTGGTTGTTTCCCGGCAGATGTTAGATTGACCAACTAGGTAACACTTTCAGTGAAGATGAAGACCAGACATTACTGGTTTTTTTTGTTTTGTTTTGTTTTGTTTTTTTTAATTTGATTTATATGCCGCCCTTCTCAGGGCGGCTTACAGTGCGTTAAGCAATAGCCTTCATACTTTTGTATATTTTATACAAAGTCAGCTTATTGCCCCCACAAACTGGGTTCTCAATTTACCTACCTTAGAAAGGATGGAAGGCTGAGTCAACTGTGATACCTTCTGTGTGAAGCTCTTGAGGGGAGCTCCTGAACAGGCAAATGTTATGTGTATTGGCTGTGGATTAAATTCAAGGCTTTCATTTTGGTGTATGAAATCTTGCTAGGATATGAGAGGACTGACTTCATTTTTATAGTTATGGCCAATTGACAGAACTACCAGGGAGAACCTTTTACATAAAGTTCGAAATTTACAATAATAGAAAGTGGTGTATAAATAATAAAAAGAAATGCATCCTCAAAGTCCATTTGGCTAGGCTACAAATGCCCATACAGATTTCACACAGCATGAAAAATCAAACCAAGCCATCCCAACATGGCATTAGTTATAACCTCAGCAGCACCACTAGCAGATTGATCATTTGTATCAGACACAATTTCCTTATTTCTCAAACAATAGAAATAATCGGCCAGGATCTTGAATTAAACAAGATCCTTTATCACTGAATCATGAAGAGCATAACAGCCCAACTAGTTGTATTATGATCCTCCCATGCTTTATTTTTTTTTTTACTTTTGTATTAAACAATCAGCTTTGTGTATTGCCAATAGAAATGAAAGAAAGTAAACATTAGCAGCCCTTCTACTATACTCTGAAATCTAAACTCCTTTGTCTTCTGTTGCAGTGCCTTGAGTGCCTGAATCAGAGGAAGTTTATTCTCTAGTCTAATCTATTCAGTTGATTTACAATTGTTGCTGTTTTCTGTGTGGTGCTAATAAGGCATCTCACTGTGCTTGTCCTTGTGCAGAGATGAAGCCCACACGCTGAGCTGCATGATTAGGAGGTGATATAAAGTGTGGGGAGAGGGTGGGCGAGGAGAGGAAAAGAAAAGAAAGGGGGAGAAAAGAGAGAAAGAAGTATCAGTCTTCTCAATTAGTAGTAGACTTTATTGTTCAATTTGGACAGGGGAGTTATGTCTGATTGGAACACCTTGAAAAGAGTCTGTGACTCCTTAATGCTCAGATTAATCCTGATTTTATTACTGACTCCTACAAACCACTCTGGTACAATCTACTTGAAGCTATTTTGAATTCTCCTTATTTCCTCAGTAGCCTCCTATGCCTAGGAGCAAATATCGGCACACCGACTCATATACCCTGATGCCATAGAAACAGGTAAAGAAAAGGTGATTTATGAAAAAAGAAATAGCAAACTGAGAGATTCTTTAACCCTTACCAATCTGCTATTATTTTTCTGTTCAAATCTGTTTCGCATGCTACAACTTTTCTCCTTACTGGGCCTAAAACGTGCTTACCAGGGTGTGATATTTTTATGAGCTGTGAGACAAGAAAAAAGCAAAGAGTTTAGCTATGTTAGGATGGTTAATTTCTTTTTGCAACTACAGATGTTCAAGACAGAAAATATCTATTTAACAGCCACACTATCTAGAGCATTTTGACTAGCAAATGGGTTTCATGTTGTGAATGGCTGTATAAAAAAATTAGGCTAACTTTTGAATGGGCTCATTCAATTGCTATCCTTGAGGAAAACATTTCCTTGCCCTGTAGTGTCTGTCATTCAGATTCAAGCATATCTGCTTATGCATATTAGGAGGTGTTGATGGGGAAATGTCTGTTTGAATATAAATTATATAGTTTGTTTTCACAGACCTATTTTTTTCTACTATTTCATTTCTGGGTATCTGCTTCACCCAGACTTCACACAAACTTCAGAGGATAATTAGAACTGCAGAAAAAACAATTACTACCAACCTGCCTTCCATTGAGGACCTGTATACTGCACGAGTCAAAAATATATGAAAATATTTACAGACCCCTCTCATCCTGGACATAAATTGTTTCAACTCTTACCCTCAAAACGATGCTATAGGGCACTGCACACCAGAACAACTAGACACAAGGACAGTTTTTTCCTGAACGCCATCACTCTGCTAACCAAATAACTCCCTCAACACTGTCAAACTATTCACTAAGTCTGCATTACTATTACTATTAATCTTCTCATCATTCCTATCACCCATCTCCTCCCATTTATGACTGTAACTTGTTGCTATATCTTTATGATTTATATTGATTGTTTCCCAGTATGATTTGATTGCTTATTTGTACCCTATGACTATCATTAAGTGTTGTACCTTATGATTCTTGACGAATGTATCTTTTCTTTTTATTTACATTGAGAGCATATGCACCAAAAACAAATTCTTTGGGTGTCCAATCACACTTGGCCAATAAAGAATTATATTCTATTCTTCATGATAGAAAACAAGAAAAGCAAAGATATGAGAAAGCTTGCTGATGGACACTAAGAGTGTCATAGAATGTGTTTCATTAGAATGATGAAATGAGCATCACAATGTTGTAATGCAAGTTCAATCCCTTTCACACATGCCTTTAGCATTTTAACACCTGCAAACAGGGGTTTGGGTTGCACCAAAACAGCACATTTATTTTATAATTGATCCCTTTACCAGTACCACTATTTCCTGCGGTGTTGTGCCTGGACATAATGCTGCTTCTCATCTCCTGTTATACAGTCTTCAGATGCAAACAGAGAGTCATGGATTGATGGCATGTAGTCTTACAGACCAAGTGGCCAAAACATAATTAAGTAGGTCTGGATATCTGAGGGTTTCTGGTTTCATGCAATTATGACTTCATATTAATGCAAGAATACTATGTAATTGACTAACTTTAGTAGAATATATATTTGAGGAGTTATTTTATGCCAGAAAAACATGAGGGTGAAGAAAAAGAAAATAGCATCCTTCTTTTACTCACAATTTGGTTTTGTTCTTGCAAGTTGCTCTGGGGTTTGATAGGAATAATACTTAGAATTTCTTTCACCTTTGAATGCTCAAATTGATTCACATATAGTATGTCAGCAACAGGGGCGGGTTTCAAAACCTGTTGCTACCAGTTTGCTCGTGTGCGCGTGATGCTTCTGCACATGCGCCGAAGCGTCCTAGTGGGTGGGTGGAGCCTCCTGCTGCTTCCGCTACTGATCCAGGGCGAACTAGTAGCAACCCACCACTGGTCAGCAACATATGTCTGTTATCCTCTCCACATTCATGTTTTCTATAGACTAAACATACCCAGAGATATTTAGCTTGGTGTAGTGGTTAAGGCAATGGGCCAGAAACAAGAAGAGTGAATTCTAGTCCTGCCTTAGGCGCAAAGCCAGTCACATCTCCTCAACTCTAGGAAGGAGGCAATGGCAATCAATTTCAAAATCTTGCCAAGAAAGCTGCTTGTCAATACAGTCCAGGAGCCATTACTGACTTAAAGCCCCCCGTAAAACATACCCCAAACCTTCCTCATGGAGCTTAGACTCTTCATCATCTTGGTAGCCATCCTCTGAATGTTTTTCAATTTGTCCCAGTCCTTTATGAACAGTGGATTAACTATTCCAGTCCATGATTTGGATTGTATGTTCCTGTTATGCACCTCAAGGTAGCTTTTGCCATTTTAACAGATATGCCTCCCTTCTTTCTCCAAAGTATTTGTCACCCCTCCAACCTTTTGTCATCTGAAGGTTGATAATTGCCTCCTCAACACCCTCATCCATTTTCTGGCAATTGCATTCTTCTTTGGTTATGTTCTCCCCCCCCCCCCATTTGCTATAAGTGTCTCTTTTCCTCTCCAGTCTTTTAGACAGCTCTGCTGTCTAAACCTAGATATTAAACCTAGATAGACTTAGATATTAAACCCTTGTCATGGACAGATCATTCACTCCTTCAACTAGACTTTCCTACCGCCTGCCCCCACCTCAGGGAGATGGAACCGACCAGATGGTTCCGTCCCAGGCGCCTGATGGATCCCGAAAGGTTCCTGACGGAGCTTGGGCCGTTTCCTGAGACTCTAACACACGACTCAACTGAAGAGCTGGTGGCCGCCTGGGAAAGGGCGGCCGCTGGAGCTTTGGACCGCGTCGTGCCTTTGCGGCCTCTGACCCGATGCCGATCTCGATTAGCTCCTTGGTTCTCTGAGGAGCTGAGAGAGATGAAGCATCGGAAAAGACGCCTAGAGAGCATTTGGAGGACTAGTCAATCCGATTCCGACCGGACACAGGTGAGGTCTTATATCAAGACCTACCTAGTGGCGATAAAAGCGGCAAAATCTAACCATTTTTCCGCTCTTATCGCATCTGCAGAGAACCGCCCAGCCGCCCTGTTTAGGGTGACCCACTCCCTTCTTCGGGGGGGAGTGCGGGAAGATCCCTTGCAGGGTCGTGCTGAGGATTTTGTGCAATTCCTGCACGATAAAGTCGCTCGGATTCGGGATGGCTTGGACTCCGATTGGATGAGTCCACGGGGGGAGACCGGGGCAGGTCTTGAGAATGTTATCTGGGAGGAGTTTGATCCTGTGACTCCCGAGGATGTGGACAGGGTTCTGGGTAAGATTAGTGCCGCCACGTGTTTATTGGACCCGTGTCCTTCCTGGTTGGTACTGGCCTCCCGGAAGGTTACACGAGGCTGGCTCCAGGGGATTATAGGTGCTTCTCTGGGTGAGAGTGCCTTTCCTGCTGCCTTGAAAGAGGCGGTAGTGAGGCCCCTCCTCAAGAAGCCTTCCCTGGACCCGGCTGAATTAGCCAACTATTGTCCAGTCTCCAACCTTCGTTTTGTGGCGAAGGTTGTTGAGAGCGTGGTGGCATGACAACTTCCCCGGCACCTGGATGAAGCTATCTATCTAGACCCGTACCAGTCGGGCTTCAGGCAGGGGTACAGCACAGAAACGGCATTGGTCGCGTTGGTGGATGATCTCTGGAGGGCTCGGGACAGGGGTTGCTCCTCTGTCCTAGTCCTATTAGATCTCTCAGCAGCTTTTGATACCATCGACCATGGTATCATGCTGCAGCGGTTGATGGGGTTAGGAATAGGGGGCACCATTTTGCGGTGGTTCTCCTCCTTCCTCTCCGACTGCTCGCAGTTCGTGTTGGCAGGGGGGCAGAGGTCGACCTCGAGGCGTCTCGCATGGGGAGTGCCGCAAGGGTCGGTCCTCTCGCCCCTCCTGTTCAACATTTATGTGAAGCCGCTGGGTGAGATCATCCGTGGTTTTGGGGTGAAGTGCCATCTGTACGCTGATGATACTCAGCTGTACATCTCCACCCCAGACCACCCCAACGATGCCCTTGATGTGATGTCCCGCTGCCTGGAGGCCGTGCGGGTCTGGATGGGGAGGAACAGGCTCAGACTCAACCCCTCCAAGACCGAGTGGCTGTGGCTTCCGGCGCCCCGATATAGTCAGCAGGTGCCATCGCTGACTATTGGGGGTGAATCTTTGCCCCCCACGGAGAGGGCTCGCAATCTGGGTGTCCTCCTGGACGCGCGGCTGTCTTTAGAAGAGCATATGACGGCCGTGGCCAGGGGGGCCTTTTATCAGGTTCGCCTGATCCACCAGTTGCAGCCCTTTCTGGATCGGGACGCCTTGCGCACGGTCACTCATGCCCTTGTTACTTCCCGGTTGGACTATTGTAATGCTCTCTACATGGGGCTCCCCTTGAAGAGCACTCGGAGGCTCCAACTGGTCCAGAATGCGGCCGCGCGGGTGGTTATGGGCGCAACCCGTTATGCCCATGTGTCACCCCTCCTGCGCGAGCTGCACTGGCTCCCGGTGGTCTTCCGGGTGCGATTCAAGGTGTTGGTTACCACCTTTAAAGCGCTCCATGGCATAGGACCCGGGTATCTCCGAGACCGTCTTCTGCCACCAATAGCCTCCCACCGACCAGTTCGTTCCCACAGAGAGGGTCTCCTCAGGGTGCCATCAGCCAAGTTATATCAGCTGGTGACGCCCAGGGGGAGGGCCTTCT